ATAAAATAACCATAATACGTATACAAAAAGTTTATACTAGTTTATTTGTAACAATATGTTATATTGTTAAATAACATTTTTATAAACTAGATTTATTGTATTTTCGTATAAATGATATTACATTTCTATAAACAAAGTATATAGGTACATGTATTCACACCCGAAATAATTAAAATTTTAAAAAGGAGTCGTAAGTACTCACCCTTGAAGCGTGAGTTTCATTGTTTCAAATTCGGTTTCTTTTAAGAAACTTGTCTTGAGAAACTGAAAATCCGTAATTCTTGAACTTTGAAATTCTCTCAGGACCGTTTTGTAACAAATTTAAACTATTGGGGGCTGTTTGGTAATTTAATTAACCGAAAAATTACTGCTTTGGTTAAAATAAATAGAGGGAGGGACTAAAATGGGTTATATGGGATTAATGTTTGAGAATTAGACTAATTTTGATAAGAAATCTCTATGGAGGGGCTGTTTTGTTTTAAACAAACTAAAGTTTGGCAAAAAGGGTCTTATTTTAAAAAAATGTTGGGAAAATGACTTGTAAGGGTAATGATGTTTTACCCGTGTTCACATTATACCATTAACGTTTTTTTTTAACACAAAATACCATTAAAATGTTTTTTCTGTACATACTTTACCCTTGGTAACCGGATACAATAGGTATCCCGGTAATTTATTTATTAAAAAAAAACAAATTATGTGGAAAATACGTGGCTCACCCCTCTCCATTAAACACCCTCACCCTCAACACTCTCAATTAAACACCCCGTTGTGTAGGATTTTCTCAGTCGAAGTTGAGATCGATCATGGATGGTCCATCTAATGCAAAAGGATCAACTTACATTCAAGTAGATGTTCATTACGATGGAATGTTTTCCCCCATTCCTCATCTTATATACTACCTGAATCAAAAAACGTCAATTACAGATGTCGATTTTGGTGGATTAAATTTCAAGGAGTTCATTCATGTTCTTGAGGATGTCACAAAGGGGAAGTGTCCTGTTGTCTACTACTGTCTTGGGCATAAGTCAATGCGTGATGGGTTGACACCACTGAAAAACGATGATGACTACAGGAGGTTTCTTGATGTTGCACATGGTAACGAGGGAAAGATTAATGTATATATTGATCACTACAACGATTCGGTGCTTGACTGGATAGAGGAAGAAAAGGAAGAAAAAAATGTTGATAGTGAAAGCTCTGATGAAGATAAAGACTCGGTCATGTCTGATGCTCTATCTGTTGATCATGAACCCGATGAAGAGGTAATACCATTGACTAAATCTGATGATCCCTTTCTTAACTATATTAGTGTTGTCCCTAGAGATGAGTTTGTTGATGAGGATGATGATTCAGATAATGGAACCAAAGAAGCCCCAATTTACCCTTTTCATGACTCAACTCAGAAATGGGATACAATGCAACCCATCCTTGGTATGAGGTTTTGTAACCCTCAAGAACTTAAACAGCTTGTCTCAAACTATGCAGTAGCAAACGGTTTTAACCTTTGGTATGAAAAAAATGATAAAACTAGGTTGTTAGTCAGGTGTTGTAAAACTAGTGAAGGAAAGGCAGCATGTCCTTTTAGACTATGGGCTACTTGGATGAGCAGTGAAAAGTCATTCCAAATTAAGTCCTTACGTAATGAGCATAACTGTGCTAGAACCTTCAAGTTTGGGTCAGTTGTTACTTACTCATGGATAGGGAAACATTTTGTTAATGATATTTTAGAAAATCCCAAATTGAGTTGCAGGGAAATGAGGGATAAAGTTGGGGAAATTTTCAATGTGAAGGTTAGTGTTGGACAATGCAGGAATGCAAAGAAGTTTGCACTTAATGAGATCGAAGGCAGTTTGAACACACATTATGAAAAATTATGGAGTTATGGAGCTGAGATATTAAGAGCTAATCCAGGGTCAACAGTGAAAATTGGGACGGATACAATGCCTGATTCCACAATTTATTTTTCTAGGATGTATGTTTGTATCAAAGGTGTAAAGGATGGTTGGATTGAAGGATGCAGGAGGGTTATAGGTGTAGATGGTTGCTTTTTAAAAGGTATTTGCAGAGGTGAGCTTCTTTCAGCTGTAGGTAGAGACGCTAACAACCATATTTACCCCATTGCTTGGGCAGTAGTTGCAGTTGAGAACAAAGAAACTTGGAAGTGGTTTCTAAACTTACTACTTAAGGACATTAACATGGGAAATGGGGCAGGATTAACCTTACTTTCTGACCAACACAAGGTATTTATCCTAACTGTTTTTTAATTGGTTACCGTTTTATTTATCTTAATGTTATGTTTATCTTAATGTTATGTTTATGTTGCATGTTTAGGGTCTTATTGAGGCTGTTAAAGAAAGAGTACCAGATGCTGAGCATAGGCAATGTGCTAGGCACGTCTATGCTAATTTCAAGAAAAAATTTAAGGGTGCTGCATATAGGAAGCTGTTTTGGAGGGCTGCAAAGGCCACAACTGTGCAGAGGTTTGAAGGTTTAATGAAAGAGATTAGGGTGATTGATATACAAGCATATGATCACTTGATGGAAAGAGATCCAAAATCCTGGTCTAGGGCTTTTTTTGTATTGGACAGGTCTTGTGATGCCATTGAGAATGGTATTTGTGAATCTTTTAATGTTGCAATTGTGCATGCTAGGAAAAAGCCGATTATAACAATGTTAGAGGAAATTAGGAGGTTTGTGATGGATAGGATGTATTGTAAAAGATTGAAGGGGCAGAAATGGAATCTAGCCATATGTCCATCTATTAGAAAGAAAATAGTGGACAAGAGGAAACATCTAAGGTATATATACTTTATTTTATAGGTATTGGCATGTAATTCCCAAGTATTAATTTTATACTATATTCCTTTATTTTATAGGTATTGGTATGTAATTCCCAGTGGAGTGCTACAATTTGAGGTGAGGTCAGTACATGAGGTTTATGCTGTGTACTTGAACCAAAGAACATGTGCATGTAGAGGATGGCAACTAAGCGGTATACCATGTATACATGCCATGTCTGCTATTAGTTATCTAAATGAGAATGTGGAAGACTATGTGGCAACTTGGTTCACAACAGAAATGTTTGGAAATTGCTATAAGTATACAATTAATCCTTTAAATGGAAGTGAAATGTGGCCATCTTGGGAAGGTCAACCTATGTTGCCCCCGAAACGTAAAAGATTACCTGGCAGACCTAAAGTCAACAGGAAGAAGGCTGCTTCAGAAAAAGAAGGTCGTCATACTATTAGCAAGAAAGGGGCTATTACAAAATGCAACATCTGTAGAGAACCAGGACACAACAAAATAACATGTCCATTGTCCAAAGAAGGTTTTTTTCATATCAAGTATCATTCATTTACCAAAAAAATATAAGTATTATCTATTAATGCATTATAAATTTTAATGTAGGACCAAGTACTAAAGCCAAAAAGAAGAAGGGTAAACATGTTCCTGATGTTGAGGATGAGTCTGAATTTGAGATTGAAGAGATGGATGAAGTTGAAAATGAGTATGAATCTGAGTCTGAATCTGAGATTGAAGAGCTGGCTGAAGATGGTGATGAACCTGATCAGGGACAAGTTGATGAACAAGTTGAAGCTGTTGTTGAACCTGATGAACAAGTTGAAGCTGTTGTTGAACCTGATCAGGAACAAGTTCATGAACCTGATCAGGACCAAGTTCATGGACCTGTTGTTGAGGATCCTGCTGCACAACCCGTTGTTGAAGTTGAACAAAGAGCACAACCATTGAAGAGGAAAAGGAAATACTCAGAGAGGATCACTAAAGTGGCATTAAGGAGGGTGGTCAACACCAAGGATGGATGTGGTTTAAGTGTGAATAAACCTGTTACACTGGAATGATTCCCTTTGATGTAAATCTGCACATTAAAAATTGTGCTTTTGTTTGTTTAAGGATGAAATTACTATGCTTGTCTTTTGCTAAAAACCATGCTTGTCTTTTGATGTAAATATGCACATTAAAAACAGTGCTTTTGTTTGTTATTACCCTTTAAATATAATCTACATCGTTCAATGTTGCTTTTACATATGATTCCTTGTTTTTGACCATTATGCCCTTCATATTATTTTTTACCATTATTCACATTAGATCATATTCAAACACAAGATTCTGCATAGTTGTTTGTACAAGAGTAACATTCTGCACATTATGCCCTTCATTTTGACCATTATGCCCTTCATTTTGACCATTATGCCCTTCTGCACATTAAGAGGTAAAATTCTGCAAGATTCTGCATTTTGACCATTATTCAAACACAAGATTCTGCATAGTTGTTTGTACAAGAGTAACATTCTGCACATTATGCCCTTCATTTTGACAATTATGCCCTTCATTTTGACCATTATGCCCTTCTTCACATTAAGAGGTAAAATTCTGCAAGATTCTGCATTTTGACCATTATTCAAACACAAGATTCTGCATAGTTGTTTGTACAAGAGTTGTTTGTACAAGGGTAACATTCTGCACATTATTTTTACCATTATTCACATTAAATCATATTCAAACAAAAGATTCTGCAAAGTTGTTTGCAAAGTTGCTTTTACATAAGATTCTTTTTGACCATTATGCTCTTAGGATTCCTTCATTTTGACCATTATGCCCTTCTTCACATTAAGAGGTAAAATTCTGCAAAGTTGTTTGTACAGGGGTAACATTTTGCACATTATTACCCTAATATGACAATGCATGAATGCTCATTCAATGTTGTTTGTACTTAAGATTAAATCATATTCAAACTTAAGCTAAACATGTCTATTCAATCGTATTCAGCAAAACATGTTCATTCAATCATATTCAGCAAAACAACCATAATATCCGATTACAATTTGACATTTATGCCCTTAAAAGTGCTACTACAAACAACATAAACAACACAATTACATATGTTTTAAGACTGCTAATTTTTCTAATTATCTTATCAAATTCTTCATCTGTCTTCTTTTTGTAAATATTGAAATCATGGTCCATAATTGCAATCCTCACTTCACAAGATTGTGCCCTAACTTCACAGGATTGTGCTCCCACTTCATCTCTTTTCTTCTTGTTGACTGTATCTTCTTCATTAACCCATTCCCAGAATTTGCATTTAATTTCTGGGTTATCCTAAAACAAATATACGAAAATTATTGAAAAGACCTTACTACATATAGATTAAACCCGACATACCGTTGAATTAGGGCAAACCCTAAACTCTTTTCCAGGATTATCTTTGGTCGTTGAAGTCCAGATACGAGAAGGGTAGCCACAATCACAGGGATTTGCAAAATCAAGTTTCGATTTTGACTTGATTTTCTTCGATCTGGTGTTGGAGGTGTACGTAGAGGAGGAGGAAGCCATGGATTTGAGAAAGCTGCTACCGTCTTGAAGAGTGAAGAAGAAATCGTGCTTTGAGAGTGTTGAGGGTGAGGGTGTTTAATGGAGAGGGGTGAGCCACGTATTTTCCACATAATTTGTTTTTTTTTTTAATAAATAAATTACCGGGATACCTATTGTATCCGGTTACCAATGGTAAAGTATGTACAGAAAAAACATTTTAATGGTATTTTGTGTTAAAAAAAACGTTAATGGTATAATGTGAACACGGGTAAAACATCATTATCGAAGTTGGAAGGACTTAGGGCTTTTTCGTCCCGTCTTATGTTTGATCGGTCAAATAGAAGGATCGCATGTAGAATATGAACGAAGGATTGCAGTCAGGAAGGGGGCACACGAAGCCAGCGACGATGCTTTCGATTTCTTGGTCGTCGCAGGTCACGAAGAGGGCCGAGGAACCTCTGTCGACAGAGGAAGAAGATGGGAATAAGCAGTAGGGCTAGGCTTCCTTCTCGTCCGGCTCCGAGGTGCAAGGGTTATGGATTGGTCGCGGTCGGAGGGTGCGTCTCCGAGGTCGACGAGGCCGATAGCAAGGACCGAGAGGGAGGCTAGAAGAGGTTTCGTCGGTCTCGGTGGGTGCAGCGATGGAGTGGAATGCGAGGCCAAAAAAGGGGTCCGGTAGAAGCATATCAAGCAGCGCCTCCAGCTTCTGGTGAGGTCTCCGGCAGGAATCCTCGACGTACGACGGATGTTTTGCTCCGGTAAGAGTTGGTGAGTGGACCGGAGCAGCCCCTGTTGCTTCCGTTATTATTATTTTTTTTTTTGACAGAAATCAATGGGTGTATGGGTTGTGGCTGCTGCCGCTATGGTTTACACCACCAGTATATAGTTGGGGGTGTTTGGTTTGTTTCATTTGACAGGGAAAAGAACATTGGATGTTGTGATGATTAAACTCCTTGAAATAACTCTAAGAAGGGTTTGTTTTTTTTCTTTGTTAAAAAGAGATTGAATGGCTGATTTTAAGAGTATAACAATACTTGTATAAATTATTTGTGGATGCGCCGAAGGTATGGTTGGATGATTATTTGAAGAAAAGAAAGGATGCAAGGTATGGCTGGAAGCTGGAAGATTATTTGAAGAGAAAAGATGCAAAGGGCTGTTCACTGAAAGCTTCAATTGAGATGAAGACTTTTTTCTTTGTTTATGGTTGTCTAAAAAAAATTTGTGTATGGTTTTGTATAAAAAGATGTTTACTTTGTGTATAAAATTGGGTGTGTAAGCATTAATAGCTGTCAATTTTTTGTTTTATGTATGTATTGCGTGGGTTGTGTATTTTCCATACATTGTTGGTCCTATGGTGAATGTTATATGTTTTTAGGTATTTTGGTAACAATTTTATATACACATAATGTAAATGTATTGTTGTTATTTGATGTTAATTTGACAATATAATATGTGTATCATTTTATGAGTTAAATGGATCCATGTGATTAAGATTTGAGCTTTATATACATAATAACCCAAAGATTTTATCATAATTGTTTTATTATTAATCGTATATAATATTATTGAAATGTCATACTTCTTATTACATATATACTATAGTTAATTTGCATTTATTAGACACACACACACACACACACACACATATATATATATATATATATATATATATATATATATATATATATATATATATATATATATATATATATATATAGTTGAACACGAATTTAGAAAGATAGGGCTACTTCCATCGTTAAAATTCACATCAACCGGATTTGGATTTTTATATTTTTTTGGAATACATTATGAATTATAGAAATCATGTCGAAATCAACAGTGTAATGTTTCGTGATTAATAAATTTGAAAACTTCTGACATTTTTTAACTTCTATAAATATCTTTACTGTAATTATTTTAAGTATAAAACTAAATATTTGACTATGACCCGAGTCCCAAAACATTCTCGAAATTTCCATATGTGGTGTGTAAGTCCCTCAACGGATAGAAACAGTTTTAGCATTTTTAAGAAAATCAGTATTATATTGGTTTAGATTCTTAAAACGGTTGTATCTTTTGCATACGAACTTCGTTTTGGACGTTCTTTACATTTTTGGAAATAGGGAAACACGTACTCTAAGACTAGAGTGTTTGTATTGCTCACAACTGCTTAATATGAAATTTCAGTTTTTCAGACGCGTTAACAAAGGCTGCAGTTTGATTCGTTTGCCAGTTTACACATTTGGGGGTAAGATACCATATGATATATTATAATAGTTGAAATAAACTCATTTAGGTCTGATGTATGGGGGTTTAGTTTGACCTCGTTTTTCATATCAAATGACATTTTCATACCATGACCTTTTGTACGGCATGGTCTCTTACTTTGAATTCTAAGGGTTTGCGTCTCACGTCAATATAGCTTTTCTGCTTACTATATGTGGCCTTTAATCGTTCCTTTATCTAAACAATCTTCTTCGTTGTTTCATGAATGATCTCAGGACTAGTGTGTAGAATATCTCTAGCATGCTTTTTATCTAGTTGAGTATCTCAAACTTATACCTAGCATATAGGAGAACGACATTTACGTCTTTAAAAGACCTTAAATGGAGTGACCTTTACGCTAGTGTGATAACTATTGTTATATGAGGATTCATCTAACGGTCGGTGAGTACCCCATGAATTACTGAAGTCTATTACCCAAACACGGAGCATATCTTCTGGAGTTTGTATCGTCCTTTCACTCAGTGCATCCGTCTGAGGATGAATGGTTGTACTCATACCAACTTTGGTTCCTAGGAACCTTTACAATAAATCTGGAAGTGAATCTACTCTCTCAGACCGAGATGATAGATAATGACATACAGTGTAGTATGACTATCTCTTTGAGATGGTTCATGGTGAGTTTCTCCATCTTGTTAGTTTCTTTGGTTAAGAAGTGGTCACACTTGGTCAAACGGTCAACCACTACCCAGATGGTGTCATAACTCATAACCGCTTGATGTTTTTGGCAGATTTGCTATGAATTCCATGGTTATCTGTTCCCATTTCCATTTTGGGATTGACGGTTTTATAGTAGTCCTGATGGCTTTTGGTACTCCACTTTGACTTTGGAGCAAGTCAAACATTTACCGACATATGTGGAAATCTTTGCCCTTATGTGGGGCCACCAGTAAAGCTTTTTCAGATCGAGATACGTCTTGTCTGATCCGGGATGTACCGAATATCTTGATTTATGAGCTTTATTTAAGACTTGAATCATGACTTCACCCAACGTTGGGGTCCAAATTCGATTCATGAAATATTGTGTTCTGTCTTCCTTGAGGCCAAACTATTTGTCTATACCTCTCACGTTTTCTTTTATGATATTCTTAGGTTTGAGTGCTTCTAGCTGAACATTAGGAATTTGGATGGTGAGGTTCGAGTGGATGGTTAGGGTTAGAGCCTTTACATGAAGAGGCTTTGCTCGTTCTTTCCTGCTTAAAGCGTCTACTACGACATTCGCTTTACTAGGATGATAAAAAATTTTGCATTCATAATTATTTATCAATTTGACACATCTTCGTTATCTCATGTTGATCTCCTTCTATTATAAGATGTGTTGGAGGATTTTGTGGTTGGTGAACACGACACACTTCGTTCTGTAGATGTAATGTCTCTAAATCTTTAGGAAAACACTACAAATCCCAACTCAAAGTCATTGGTAGTGTAGTTGGTCTTGTTTGGCTTGAGTTGTATGGATGCATGCAATGACTTTATTCCTTTGCATCATTATGCATCCTCACCCTTGGGGTGAAGCATTGCAGAATACTACAATGTCTTCTGTTCCTTCTGTAAGAAACAAAATTGGCGCAATGCACAGCAATTTTTTCAATTTCAGGAAGGCAGACTCTTATCTTTAACCCCAATCGAATTTCTTCTATGTCTGGGTTAGAGCGGTGAGAGGCTCAGTTATTTTGGGAAAATTCTGACGAATCGCTGATAATAGTCTGCAATCCCTATGAATTTGCGTACTTCGATTTGCGTTGTGGTTAGTCTTAATGGTATAACCAAAAACTCATAGTGAGTAGATCGAGTCCAAATTGTTGTCTTTAGAATGTCTGCTTCTTTGACTTTGAGTTGATGATAGTCCGATCTTAGACCGATCTTTGAGTAGTAATGGGGTCCTTGTAGCTGGTCGAACAGACTATTGATCCTCGGGATTTGATATCAGTTCTTGATGGAGATTTTGTTCGACTCTCAATAGTCGATATAGATCCTAAATGATCAATTATTCTTTTTGACAAACAATACCGGCGCTCCCCATGGAGAGAAGCTTGGTCGGATAAGGACTTTGTCAAGAAGTTCTTGAAATTGACTGGATAGTTCTTGCGTTTCCTATGGAGCCAGACGATAAGGAGATCTTGCCACTGGTGCTGCACCCGAGATTAGGTCGATTTGGAATTCGAGCTGTCTGGCTGGAAGTATTCCAGGTAGATTCTCTAGAAATATGTTAGGGTAGTCGCACACTAGCGTTATGGCTTTGATTTCCTTACCCTTGTCTCGCATATCCACGATGTGGGCCAAGAAAGTGGAGTATCTTTTCTTCAAAGATTTATGTGCCTTCATGTAAGAGATGATTATTAGATTCTTTCCTGATTAGTTCCATAAATCACAAAAACTTTATTGTTGGGTAAAGGTATTCATGCGACTTTTTGTAATATAAAATATTTGTTTAATGAAGTGATAACCAATCCATTCCGATGATCACATCGAAACTTCCAATGGTCAATTGTATTAGGTTTACATGAAAGATGTGGTTAATTTATAGGGTAATATATAAGGTGCATTCTAACTGGATGTTTGCCATTTCTACCCTGTAGACTTCGTTAAGCTTGCATAATTTATGGTTAATCATGCTTCTAAACTTATAGGAAATAAATATCAAATAATATTAATGCATAATTATTGTTGATAAGAAAGCATACTAGTAACCACAATTGGTTCCTGGCAAACATCTCTAGAACCTATCACCAATGCTCTTTCATTGCCACCCTGGTTCTTCAGTTTTAGACAGTCTTTTTTGAAGTGACCTGGTTGATTGCATTCGAAGGAACTTCGGCTTCCTCCTGCAACAATGGTTGAGGTTGCA